TTGTGTAATAATTCACCATTGAATGAATCTGGTTTCTGTGCTTTGTCATGGGACAGTAGTTTGTGTGATTTATGTCTATTGATTAAATATATCCCGGTTCGTTTCATCGTAAATAACTAGACTTTGTCCACCACTCCTAGTTTTAGTCTTACATCTCTTTAGCTTTGCACTACAGTTGTAACTAAACTATGGAGCTTAAACTCTACCTGAGTGCTCTCTTTTACACTTTCACTGGTTTCATCTATTTAATAATCGTAGTTACTTAGTATCTCATTTGCGAAGTCAAGATTAGAATTATTAGTCATTCCTCTAAAAACGACGTGAACCCGTTATATTGGAAATATCCATGGGACAATTGAGAGAGTAAAAGAATATTTTTCCTTTGTGTGAATAGGGATTTGTCGGTCTCAGCTTTGTGTATTCTGAAAGTAGAGGGAAATAAAACAGTCCTCAACTAGCCAGACATCAATAAATCAACTGTATCGATTGGTAGGTGATGTGATTGAGAATTATATTTTAAAACGCACAAACCATGGACACAAATACCTCACACCAGCAAGCTAATAACTGGACAAATTAGTTAAAATGCTTTTAATAGTTCTCAGTGCAAACCAGCAATACAAATACAAGATAATTGAGATCTAATTAGAATACATCATGAACCTACTACAGTATCATAGCTTATGGCTCCTGAGCTGGAGACCAGAACAACTGGATGCGTTCTACAGTAAGCTCACATTCGGTCGTTAAGGAAGCAGAATAGTAGGGATGGCAGCATGAGAATAATGTTGTTTCAACGTGAACAGAGTTCAGTACTCAGTTGAAGGAATATAAAGACCTCACGAAGTACGGACACCCAAAATGAGGAGATGAGGTCCAACCAGATTTTCTTAGATGGGAATTTCAACACTCTACATATATCACTGCAAGCAGAATATGAAACCCACAGCTCCGCTGAATCAGTGATTGTATTCAGCCATTAAAAGTCTAGAACAGGTCAACCGACAGGGTGACACCGAAAGAAGTAATTCAAAAGGAAGAAACTTCAAATGACTCCACCCACCAACCAAAATTTAGCTTCCAGACGTAAGCTTTCATGTCTATATAGGGAGTAACCATTGAGCTGTCATATTTAACCTCAACACTAGTAAGAAACTCCATAGCGGAGAGATTGCTCTCTACCTTTAACACACTACGATACACTACGCACTCGCATGTGATCATCGTTAGTACTCTTCCGAAGACAATACGTTCAGCGGCTAATGGTGAAAAGACAGAGATATAGTGAAATGGACGATTCAAGAAGCCATCCTGAACAGCATACCTCAAAAAAAGAAAACATTGGTGATTAAATATTCTTGCCCGAGTTGGGGTATAACAAATGCTACAGGCGAAAGTGAGAGTCTGCTACTACTGAAAATGTCTTTGAAGAATCACAACAATATTAATGACCTGGAATTAGAAGATATACGCAATTTTAAAGTTCAAACCAAGAGGTGATAATATTCAGACTAGGCTAGCAGCCGAAATACTAAGTAAATCCATATGTTTCTGCAACCTAACGACCAAAACAAAGCTTGCAAATCAGGAGATCTGAGTTCTCGAACTATCTGAATATGAGGAAGTTACTAACATGGGGATAGCAAAGTCTTTGATTCTTACTTCACGGATTAATTAGCCCGGAAGCCCACAGGTATAAAACACTTCAGATTTAGTCCTAGTCGATAGTATAAAGTTGGGCTGGCATTAAGTAAACTAGACCTCTATATCTAGGAAGGTCACCAGGATGTCACAACATTCGCCTTATTAGCATGAAACAGTGTATCACATCCATCAATGCACCGATTTGTCTGGTAATTCATTAGGCCATAGCACCTTCCAGAAGAATAGAAAAATACTAAGCTCCTTCCAATCTTTAAAGAAGGACGAAGGAAAGATAACAATTATAGTAAAAAAATTTATTACAAAATAACGATATGTTATATGAGGTGTGGTGTTTTACAGGCAGGGAGAAAATGCTGAAAATCCTAACATATTTACTGTATAAGGTTGTTTAGTTCGATGAAAAATTAAAAATTAATGCTGGCTTTCCATAAAGGGATAATATTTTACAAAATATTGTCAGATATGTTTAAGACTCTGGGATGTACTATACAACTAACTGATCTCCGGTATAGTTATGTGATAGTCGCTGCCCTACTGCCCTGAAACACACGTATTCATCCAAATCACAGGACATACAAACTCACAACCAACTGCCATATGACTAAAATTAGACAGTCGAGTGGCTAGACCCCTATTCAATGGATACTATCAAACATTTGAAACCGTACCGAAATAAGAAGAATCGAACGCAAAGAAATCAATTGGTTTATACAAGCTGATAAACAGATATTGGATATTGGAAGAGTTGGCGCAAGTTATGCTTACTGCGTTGCATAGAGCGGCTGCCAGGAAACAATGTAAGTTGGGTCCAGGCGTGTAGATAACAAGAATTGATAAAGTAATCATATGTTACTTTTCTTGATGGAATTATACAGATAATATTTTGACAGGACTCTTGGTGAAGCAACTGTTAGTCTCCAGGAATATCAAGTCTATTTATGTACAGTATTGGGTGAGGTGCTGAAAAAGAGAATGGGACGAGAAACGACAAAAAATATTCTTGGCTAAAGATGCCTTCATAACTCAACAGATGTTTTCCTGAGTAAAATATCGAAGGTCTGAATACTCAAACATTTTTTGAATTATAAAACTAACTGCTAACTTTAATTTATGTATGCCAATAAAGACATGTCCCTAACCATCGTTTAATATCGTCCCACAGACCCCAACTAGGTAGTCTACACTTACCAACATGACTCAGTCCAGTTGTCAGTGACTTGATGTATCCGTGCCACGTTTTGGTTTGACCACTCCTAGCTTTCTTCCAACCTTGTGGAGTTGGTATGACAAACTTATTTTGTAAATAGTTTTTGATGCTATTTGTATTTATTCTGTTAACCTTCACAGGCTGTACATTTACTATGAAATGGTTGTACATTTTGTTTTAAGTGCGTGTCCTGGGATACCAGGCGCTTTGACTACTGCACGTTTCCGTTCTGTTGTACACAGCATTACACTCACCGTCTTCACTTAACTAAACTTTATACGCATGTCTCATGTTCTCCATTGTTTATTAATGCGTTAACGAGATTCTAATACATATATTGTCTACATTTATAGACTGCAGTCATATGTATATGCTATTTTACGGATAGTTATACCGCTGGGATTATTAACATTTTTATAATTGTGGATTTTTGGTACCAAACCCAACCAAACACGTACAAGCAGCCGTATAAAGTAACGTCCTTACATTTTTATTGTGTTTATTACATTTAACTGATATTGTTTGGTCCACCACAACCTACTCATACACCGCAATACATAGTTGGACAAGGCAGTCGATGGCTGGGCATTCGTAACACATTTCCCAATCGCCTCAACTGATGAAGTTTCACTACTTCATCTGTTGATCTGCCATTCTTGCCTAGTATCCGTCTCCTAGTAGCAGCATCGCTTACTCGATTGTCCCAAGATAAACGAGTAATGCTTCGGTGACTTCTATGATCGAAAACCAGTAACCCACGAATATCTTTTACTCTGACAGTCTGTTTCACACCCCTTTAGTACAACAAAGCAAACTGCTGCGCAGTAGACTCATCCCTTGACCAGCAAATAGATATCTCAGTTAGTTTTCTATGGTCTGGGGTCGCCAACCCTCCTTCATCCGGGCTCGGGACAGGCAGTAGCCCTTGAGGGGCTCCAGGCGGAGTTAGATTGTAAGGAAACTGTAAGCAAACAAAGTTTCTGCTTCACAGACATAGGTGATTAGGGTTATCGTCCCATGAACCTGCCATAAATAATTTCCAAAAGCAGTCGAAACTTATGCAAGTCAGCGACTGAATGAAGAAGTGCTTGAGTAACAACGAATTTCTATGTAAAACCTAACTCGGGTTTAAGAAAGTCGGATCCTGCTTATCAAATTTTTCCGTTGTGTTGGACAGTTAAATCATATTCTATGACCAAAAGACTTTGGTCCATGTAATGTTGCTTGAATTTTCAAGTGTTTGACACGGTGTCGAGGCATTCCACACAGCGAAGGTTGCCAAAATGAGCTTCTCTCCTACATCTATCCTAGATATCAGGAAAATACGTGCTAGTTAGTAATTCAAAATTTTCCCTATCAAAATGTCACATGATGAACGTTCAGCAAAATGGGATACAAACATTTTAATCTATGCAAGTCTATTCACAGTCGTCCCTTCAGAGCACGGCCTAGGTCTTTTAACCACAGGCAGTCTAGACACCAGATCAAACAACGTTGGGCATGAGACCATAGTGAATTTAACTTTTAAGTTGATATCAAGAAAAATTAGCGCAAGTGTACTAGTACTGAAACTAATACTCTTCAAGATGTATTAAAGGTGTTGTTGCCTGAAAACTCACAACCTTTTTCTACCCCTCATTAAAAATTGTAAATCTGTTATGCTAACTACGGAGACGATCTAACATGTGGGGCTAAGAAATAAATCTTACAATGATGTACACAGGATTATTTACTGTGGGCTGTAGGATAATAATTGGTGATCTAATAATTGCACACATTAATTACTCCAAGTCGCATAAATACCAACACCCTACTAGAACATTACTATCACACTATGTGGAACGATTGTTGTTCTTTACTCTTAAACCCATCTACTTGATGTGCGTTGTCATGTCAATCTGTACTCTTTTTATTGCAGGGCAATCAAGGATAAATGTGCTGCATGAAGAGGAAGAAGAACGAGCCTTGCGTAAACTGAACTTTCAAAGTGATATATGAGACCATTTTTTCTAAATAAGCTTTCTCTTTTGTATGCGCAATTTCAAATAATATACTCTGTTAATTGCAACTCCTCAGTGTTCTGTCTTTTGATGGATTCCGTGACGAACGTTTGTACACTATGGTTTTAGGTCATCTCTACTTGCCGAAAGCACGTGTTACAGTGAAGTTTCAACCAATCTATCTTCCTTTAGACATCTTGTCTTTAAAAAACCGGCAAGATTCGTTTGACGCTTGCTTCTTGATTGAGTTCGACCGAATCATTTAACTTTACAGGTTCGTAATTCTTAATAATATTGCTCTATTTCATGAAACACAGTGTATTCACTAGTCTGTTTTTTTTCTTAAGAACATTGCGTCCTATTGCTAATAGCCTAAACTCAAGTAAGTGGTGCAACATTCAAATCGTCTATTAAATGATTAAAAATTGCGTCTAGACTTTAATAGTATTGATCTGTATATCACTGTTGTAGAACAGTATAGTAGTTCAAACTGGCTTTAGTTATTTACTGCACATATTTTAGTGTAGATAACTAGATATTTTGTTGGATATTTGGGTCAATAAAATTAGTGCATAGCCTAATACTTGAAAATGTACTTTATTTATCGTATAGCAATATGTAAGAATATACATTGCTTGAAAAGCTACGCTATAGTGACTGTATGACAATGTATAATCCTATTCAGAATATATATCTTTTCTTTTTTACCCACAATTACAGAATAGATGCAGTCCAATCAACGACCAACATCAAGTAATCAACCAAATTTTCCACGTAAACGAAATACACATGTTCAAGGATTGAAGTCAAGACTTCGTTTAAATATTAATTCAATTTTATCTAATTATGAAATGATTTTATCACGATCTAAGGTATATATATTAGCGTAAATTCACCTATTTGGTAATTATAAAATTATAGATTGATCCAAATGAAATTACTAAAGGTCTTGGTCCATATGCTCAATGTGCTCAAGATACATTTGAATTTAGTGTAAGAGCAGCAAATATAGTAAGTTGTTATTATGAAATCTTGTTGTTCTGTTTTTTTCTTTCAAACTGGAATCCATTAACCTTTTTATACATTCAAGTGATCGGTATATGTTCTTATTTTTCATGATTTGGATTTGTTGTTTAAGTTGGACGAAGAAATTCACAATCACATCACAGCACCAAGATCATACCTCATATCTTTGTCTTAAAGCAGACACAATACTATTAAGCAGTTGGTTAAAAACTTCAATAGACTATATTTCCAAACTCATCGAATTTGTCTTTTTAAAGTAAATTTAGCAATTTTAGACTTTTTTGAAGGCTAACTTTGAATCAATAATACTTGCTTTTATGTATTATACTTGAAATATAAAAACTGTTTTTAATGGCAGAAGGCTCGATTGGCTTTTGCCAACCTGCGTCACCTATGACGCAGGTGAAATATCCGTTTGCTAACCAAACAACGAGTGTACTGTGCAGCAGTTCTCTCTGTTCTACTGTACGTATGCGAAACATGGCTGTTAAGAGTAGAGGACTTGCGTAGGCTACTAGTCTTCGATCATCGATGTCTCCGAAGCATTGCTCGTGTATCCTGGGACAACTGTATAAACAATGGTGTCGTTAGGAAACGAGTTCTAGGTAAGGATGGCAGATCAATTGATGAAGTGGTGAAACTTCATCAGTTGAGGCGGTTGAGACATGTGTTACGTATGACTAACCACCGACTGCCTCGATGACCTATGTTTTGTAGTGTAGGAGTAGGTTGAAAGAAAGCTAGGGCGGCCAAACCAAAACACTGCAGAAATCCATGAAGTCACTGACTACTGTATTGAGTTTTGTTGGTAGATGTAGGCTACGTGGTTGGGGTCCGCGAGACGAAAGTCACCGATGGTTAGAGACCTTGAATGACATGGCTCAAAATCGTTTGCAGTGGCGCAGGTGCATCCACTGTTTGTGTTCTCTCTAATTCTAGCCTTCTGCATTCCTCATAATCTCTATCTTTCTCCTAAATTTATCTCACTGAATTATACTTTTCGAATCCTATCTTCGCTCTCTAATCTGCCAATACATCTACTATCGCTATCACTCTTGGATTTGAAGTGACAGTTACGTCTCTGTGCTGACGTGTTATGGCAACCTAAACTGATGTACTTACGTACGAAGTTCTGCATTGTATCTGTCTGTTTGTAATGGCGCAGGTGCATCCATTCTTTTCGTCTTCTCTCAAATCCTAATCCTCTGGATTCTTCATCATTTTTATTTTTCTCTTTTTAAATTTACTTCACTCCATTACACTTCTTGAATAATTTCTTCGAACCCAATCTCTCCGATTACTGTTAATACTTCTTACACCTCTACCACTATGGGATTTGAATTGACGATTGCGTCTTTCTGCTAATATGGTATGGCAACTTGAACTGATGTACATACGTACGTACGTATGCTATTCTACGTTCTAACTGACTGACTGCAGTATACCTGAGAGTAGTCATTATATTCTTATATTTCGCTCTAATATTAATTGTCTAAACTGAGATATTCTATCATCATACAGACAGTAAGATAATTAACGGAGTCATCTACATGACTTTGAAAAAATCTTTTCTAAGTTATATTTCAGAAACTGAATGGTATATTTAACCTGTATATCAATTTCAGTCGAATTTAAATACACGAGCCTGAAGTTAGTTATTAAGTTACATGTGCTTTAATTTACAACATGGATTGCAAAAGTTGAAAAATCCTAACCAGGTATTCTATTCTAACGTAATTCAACGTAAAATAAATATATTTTATTCTTGATCATTTCTCTTTAGTTTTTATAGCCAGTTATATTTGACTAGCAATAATAATCGAATCGTTATTGATTTAGATGAATGATTGATCCTACTTGTATATGCTTTGTCAACTTCGTCATTGACATGCTTTTAGAGACGACACGTTCATCGTCTGACTTTTCACGAGTTGAACTTTTACCAGGAGATTCGCTTGTTGACTTTGTATTCTTTCAAATTCTAGTCGTCCGAATTCCATATCACTTTTATCTTTCTCTTTTTAAGTTTATTTCACTGGATTATACTTCGCGAATGATATCTTCAATCCCTTATCTTCTCCATTATCTCTAATACTTCTACTACCTCTACTACTATGGGATCTAAATTGACGATTCGTTCTCTATGCTAGTGTGGTATGGCAATTTGAATTGATGTGCGTACTACGAAGTTGTACGTTATAGCTGACTGACCAACCGACTGTCAACAAATCCCGTTAATAACGATGTGTATACAAAAAGTCGAGTAAGGATGCTTCCAATAATTTATACTTCATACTTTCAATTCGATAGACAGGCGATAAAATAACATGAATTCATCTCATTTCTCCGAATATTGTTTCAACTGTATTATCCAAATTTCCGCCAGGGAATTAAGTAAATCCTATCATCTTATATTTTTGTTTATATATATTGAGAGTTAACATGCATCTCTTCAAGTGTATAATATATTCAAATTAATTAATCGCTTCACCATTTAACTTTAACCCTATTTATCAATGTAATAATCATATCAATCAACACATAGAATCCGTATATTAAAACAATCTTGCAACTTAGTTCATTTTTGTATATTTACGTATTAATTATTTGATTTGTTATACATTCTTGTCAACTAAAATAAACTATTCATTATAGAGTTGTAGAGATTGTCGTTTTTGATTTAAATCATAAATCGATCATTGTCAGATCACCATTGGAAACCTGGTGGAGTACTGAACAGCCTTTCGGTCCTCGTATGAGACTCTTCAGTAGTCCACATCCACCACCGCTCGTGGGAATCGAACCCAACACCTTCATTCTCGCGCGCTTACGCCTTAACCTTTAGACCATTTAGCTGGTGGTATCCAATGTTCTTAATGTCTAACTTTGATCAATCTAAGGTTTTGTACAACCTTATCCAATGTCTCTCTAGATTTCTACTAGATAGTCTAACGATGATCAATTCATGATTTCATTCAAAAATATTTTGAATATGATATTCCAATTGTTAGAAATTTATTTTTCAAAATCATGATGAATCTTATTATTACTACCATACACTATCAAAAATTATTTTTCATTTATCTTTTTCTAAATATCTTCTCATAATTTCCATCTTTTTAGGTTCATGCATGTGAGAATATTACTCGTCTAGTATCAGAAATTAAACAATTTCTAATATTAGGCGATTTCCGTTGGTTAGCTCAAGTCACCGCGTTAAATCAAGAGAAATTACTTCTTCGAAAATTAGATTTAGATCGTGTCAGCAATCGATTACGTGATAAACTTGTAGCTGAATTACATAATTTAGAACAAGAAACAAGTTCAGATTATCCAATTAATGCCTATCAAAAAACTATTCAACAATGAGAAGAAAATTATGTATTGGACAACTATTTTTTTTAGCCGCCTGTATATATATAAATATAAATATATTTAAATAATTTGGTATTTGTATAATTATTTTGTCTGTTATATACATGCTTTAAAAATCACACTGATATTCCTGAGCTTTCGTAATTCTTTAGTAAACTTTAGTTTTAACAATAACTATTCCATGGATAAAAATGAAAACTCACTTGAAATCATAAGATAGTTAGTCTTGCTTGGTGATAACGACATTAAATAAGTGCGAAATTTTCTGTTGTTCAAGAGTAAAAAATGCAAGTGAATTGTTCTTCTCTTCTTTGAAATGCAAAATATCACTTCATAACTGGTTCAAATCAACGCTTAAAAACTAATGGTAAGGACCAGTAGAGTTCAACCCTGTCGGGTGTAGGCAGTAACTACCGAAGGCAAATAAGTGAGGTCGCGCAAAATCCCTATATTGATCAGAAATAGACATTTACACTGTTGGATGCCAGACCAATGTCGAGAGATTAAGCGTTCGCGCTCAAGACCTAAGGTCTCGGGTCCGAATCCTAGGAGTAACAGGAGTCGCGGATGTGTACTGCTGATGAGTAGTCCCACACCAGGATGAGACTTCCGTCGAGTGCTTCTAGGTTTCGAATGATAGGGGTCTAACAATGATTGATTGGTGATATCAATGTTCAGAATCACTGATCTCCATAACTCTGATTGCAAAAATAGTATTAGTTGAGCGCTACAACCACTCTACTTATTTTGGAATTTTTATCAGTCCTGTTAAGTCGGTATCTGACCAAATCTCGATACGGATTTCAAAAGAGTCGGTGGGCAATTGCTGATTGACTAGGTTATTGATTTAATTGATCGTAAAATGTATGTGTGTAGAAACATACCAACTTATATTACCAAAATCATTTCAACTTACTAATTATAGATTCGCCTACGTAGATTTTGGCCACACATTCAATGTGTAAAGGCTAGTGATACTACTCATTTTCCGAAAACAGAGTAAATAGGACGGAATTTGGATCTATAAATAAGGGAACTGGTTAATATAACTTACAAATCAGCAGTTTCTGTATTCAAGTGTAAGGCACGCTTTGTGTAAGGTTCGATAATATACGCCCTAGCTGCTACTCAAATCGAAATATATATGGAACAGGACTCTAACCTACCGGTTGCAAACTGAAATCCTGGATAGAATCTGGGAACTGGTCCCAATCTATAAGAAAGGAAGGAAGTATTCTTTTAACAATCACAGAACAATCGGTTTGACTAATATAGTGTCTGAGATACTGGCTTCAATAATACTCCGACGCCTAACTAGAGCCCGTGAAGTGCAGAATCGAGGCTGGTTTCGGACCCACATGTGGATTCATAGACCATATATCCACACTTCATCAGGTTCTAGAACATAGACACTTCGGCGTTCGAATTTGTCGGTAGTGAGGCTCTGTGGCTGTCTGTCATTCAAAGCTGTACCAAACAAATACATTAACCTTACACAGGCTCTCTGCTCGAGTGAGAGCTTATGTAGAACTGTCACCAGACTTGATTACTTCTAGTTGTATCCGTCGGGGCTGTCCACTTTCTCCATTCATGTTTAACTTTGTCATAGACATGCTTTTGGAGCTAACATCATCGTCAGACTTTTCAGGCGTGGACCTTCTACTAGGAGACTCACTTGTTGACTTAGAGTATACCGATGACCCTATTTGGCGAAGACGCTTACAAAATGCAGAGTTTTATGACTACCCTAAGAAACAATGCAAGCATGTTCGGGATGCGGTTTACCTCGTCGAAATGCAAAATCTTGTTTCAGGATTGGCTTGCGTCGGTACCCAAACTAGTAATAGGGTGTGAAGCAGTTGAGTATGTTGACCGCTTCCCTTATCTCGGGAGTCTCATTAGTGCTGATGGCCTAGTGACTGACGAAATCTCATCATGGATACAAAAGGCCCGATTGGATTTTGCCAACTTGCATCACTTATGACGTAGACGAGATATCCGTTTGCTAACCAAAGGAAGAGTCTAATGCGCAGCAGTTTGCTCCTTTCTACTGTACGGGTGTGAAACATGACCAGCAAGAATAGAGGATATTCGTAGGTTACTATTATTTGGCCACAGGTGTCTTCGAATGATTGCTTGTGTATCCTGGGACAATCGTGTAAGGAATATTGTTATCAGAAAAACGGGAACTAGGTATTGGTGACTGGTCTATAGATGAAGTAGTGAGTCTTCATTAGCTTGGGACATGTGTTACACATACCCAACCACTGACTGCCTCGACGAGAGATATTTTTTTTTGTAAGAGTAGTCTGGAAGAAAGTTAGAGCCGGCCAAACTAAAACATGACACCGGTTCATGAAGTTACTGACAAGTTGACTGAGTCATGTTAGTTGGTGTAGAGCACCCACATTAGGGTCGGCAAGGCTATCGTTACCGTTGGTTAGAGACCCTGGATGACTTAGCTTAAAGCCGCTTGCAATGGTGCAGATGCATCCATTCTTTGTGTTCTACGTTGTATCTGACTAACTGTCTTTGTTCCTATCTTATGTATCTTAATGTATGATTAGCTGTCATATTCTGTTTTGTTCCAAAATTGTTGTAACTCAAAAGTAACTTCTTAAATTGATTTTTCTACCCTAAATGCCTAGGTTGGACGTAATTGGATTTTTTCAATTCTTTGTGCTTGGTGATGTTGCTGAGTACATATTTTTTTCAAATTTAGCGTGAGTCTGATCATAAATGAATCGAGTAGTGTTTCAGTCAGTCAGTCTTCTCTCTTAGTCGCTTGCTAGCCTATTCAGCAATAAAATAGATCCCTCCACTTTTCCTACAGCTGTTTAGACTGGAATTTATGTACTAACATGTTGAGCCTACAGGGGTTGTCCTAGCTTTCGGTCAAACTGATTAATGAATATTTTTGCCCGAATTTCTACTCACATATCCTTCGACTTGTTCTGTCATTCACACATAACCTTTTTTGTTTTTATTCGACTTCCTGTTTACTTCGTTTATTACAAGTCTAGCCTATTATTGTCTGACTATAATTACTTGGTCACGCTTCATCGAATTAAGCTGACTCACTCGCCAGCTAGGTTGATTTGACCATTACATAATGGTCCTGGATTTTCAGTTTATTATGAATGAATTTTTGAAATCATGAATGAGTCAATGTTAGGCCGCCACCAGAAACCTTGAAGCACTGGAAAGCTGTTTCGTCTCAGTGCAGAACTCACCAGGAATGCACATTCACTACCTCCACCAGTCAGGATCGAACCTTGGGTCTCGCACTCGAACGCTTAACTTCTGGACCACTTAACCGGCATTCAGCGGTGTTAATGTCTAACTATGATAAATTCATGGTCCTGCGCAACCTCACTCACTGTCTTCGGTCAGCACTGCTTCACACCCGAATAAGGCTGAACTCCACTGGTCACGACTTCTCACTAGAACTCGGAGAAACCTCACGAAGCTAGTCACTAGTGAGCACAGGTATAAATGAAGTAACTCATTAGAAGCTCATTGCTCAATAACCCCATATTATATAAATCTTAGTTCAGGCAGATTTAAATCAAAATAAAGGAGTTCAGAATTTTTTGTGAATTCTTCCATCAGACCGACATTGAGTGTGTAACTGCAAGAAAATAAATTCAAACATTTCAAATCACACTACTTAATAATCCTAGTTTAGTAGTCTGAATAGTTTGTATGAAAATTCACGTTGGTAATTTGTTAAGATATAACTTTGTTATTAATAATGCAGAGGTTTCATGATATCATTAGATTTCTATTCATTACATCATTGAAAACTGAAACACACCGAGTAAATGTTTATCCCGCGCTCATGGATCAGACCGCTCTGGAAAGCCTAAACTCCAAACCGAAGAACCAACATTCAATGTTATGCACGTCTGACTTCAGTCAGTTTATGATACTGCTTGACCATCTTCCACTTTCTGTGGTGAATAATTTTCTCATGCTTGATGTGTTCGAACTTCACTAGCCATGGCTTCTTACTAGAACTGGAATCATATCTACAATCTAGTCATTAGTGAGTATACGGTTATTATCAACCAAGAGGAATTAGACATGTACGCCAGTGGATTGCAGATCCCGTGGTTTGGAGATCAAATGTTGGGAGGGTTGGGAACCGCAAAGGATTCTGTCCAGCAATGCAGAGTTTCAAATGGTGGTCAAAATTAAAATCAGTTAGTAATTTAATCGATACAATTTTTCTCAGTGCGTATAGTTTTGTAATAGCTGAATGAGAAGATCACTTGATGACAATCAGAGATGACATGAGGGACAAACTTATATAATTGATTTCCTACGAGGTAGAGGTGAAGAAATGTGTTTATGAGTATTTTATTCAGTAGCCAAAGAAACGTCAATTCTTGCCATTTCGTTCAAGTAGATAGTTTAGGGGTTCGCACGTATTAACGTTCATATTTCGGATACCGACCGTCATAGTACTATTGTAGTAAAGTCCAGTTAATAAAACAAGTTAAACTGAAATCTCCAATTGTTTTAACTAGTAAAAGACAGACTTAATTCAAACGTATCTTTATCATAGTGACTGTTGTTCTTCACTGGAAATCTTCAGTCTATCATTGTTAGTCCACCATTGGAAACCGGCAAGCACAGGATGCCTGCTTCGTCCTAGTATTGGACTCTCTATCAGTGAACATCAACGAGCCCCGCTCGTTGGATGCCCACCTAGTTGTCTAAAGTTTAAGCGGTCGCGCATGAGACCGAAGTTCCCAAGTTGGTTACTCGTGAGCGGGAGTAGTGGGTGCGCACTGCTGAAAAGTCCCAGGTTTCTAATGTTGATATAACAACAGTTGAATCACGATTTCAATGGTGAACTTATCCGTTTGAAACGTTACAGCAACTAATGTGACTGTCATCCGTGACTTTACCTCTGTTCTGTTGATAAAAAAGGTGTAGCATCATAGATAAATATGCAAAACAAACCACTTAAAAAAGTGGTATTAAAACTTGGATTGTGGCTAGCAGTGGATTTCAAGAAATAATTTTTGTTGTTGTTTAGGACTCATCTGACGGATGTACA